CCAGAAACAAAATAAAAGAAACGGAGAAAATCAAGTTTTGAAGAGAAAACACCGATTTCAAAACCAAAATGTGAAAGACATGAAAAGGAGCAAGGTGTAGAGCGACCCTCAACGAACACAGAAACATCGGCTCTATCTTGTAGTGGAGAAAATAAAAGTTCTAGAACATGCAAAACTTGTAAACCATTAGCCAAAGCAACAAATGTATAAGTTTTATTGGGCTTTTAGTGAAGTCAAAAAATATATGCATTTAGATACATGATACATGACTGGAATGAAGAACGTAAAATAAACTTAAACGAGAACTCTAACTGACTGTGAAAAATACTCCTGCAAACACTTTTAATTCCTAAATCAAAAATCACTATAGAAAGAGACAAAAGCTGTCTTTTCTTGTCATCTAATATAAAGCACAGATAGAAGCTGGTATGAGTTAAGTTGTCCAACTCAAATTGTTCTTTCTGCATTTTGTCGATATTTTTAGAAATTGTGTATATATGAATGTCTACATCTGTGCATCTGTGCTTTTCTGACTTGTATTGTTATGTGCTTGTTTTTTGTCAGCTTGACTTAATTTTTATCTTTTACAGATTATAAGATTAGTTTTGCTTCAGATTTTTCAATACTGGATCACATTAAGGCATTTCATTGCAAATTTGTAATAGCGAATTTTTTACTTTTGTCTTCCTCGGGACTGAATTGTCTTAATGTCCGTCTTCTGTCTTTATTTATCTGGCTCTTTTAAGTGATTTTTCTTGTTGCTCTGCCATCTTTTAAGGCATCGATAACTTTGGTAATGGTCATTAGGCTGCACTTTTTTGTACATATATAAAGGATCATGTACATGCTCTATTTAAATCGTCATATGTAACCATGACCATTGTTAGAATTTCACCTGGCGGGGGTTAATTTTATCAACCTTATCTTGTGATAAAGGAAAATATTGGGGCTAAGAGTGGGGTTTTGTACGCCTTAAGCCGTTTAAACTCCCCAGTGGTGTAACTACATCTGGCTGTTCCAAGGCGGTACCCCTCTGTCTGTGTTCTTTGACGTGTTTCACATGTCGTTTTGAATGTTTGCTTGCTTTGTGATGTCTACCTTATTTAATTGTCGTTAACGGTAACTATTTTCTCAACACCCCCATTATCCTATTTTATTACCCCCCACCCTTTCACACTTATAGCCATGGTCCCTTTAATTCCCATATGGACCCGTGGTAGATTATATTACTTCACACATAGAGTTTCTTTCGCCGCCCTTATGTCAACTCCCGGTTTGGGTTTAGGGCCTTCTTCGTGCACTGCCTTGGTAGATTGGGTATGTCAGGGGCTGCGTCCTGTGAACATTGCCTTTGACGTGTTGATATTTATTCTCGTCTTTTATATTCCTTAGTCGATGGTCATAAAAAGATTATCATGTAAAATCAGTTTATTTCATTTGCAGAAAAAAACAGCTTAACGTATTCTACCTATTATGTTAGGATTGTTAAAGATTAATATTACGTGTCGTTTTATGGTATTGATTCTTCTCAATGTAATTGATTAATTGATGCTTATCAATAGCCTTATTACATAATATAACACTGGATATTTCTATTACAAATAATAATGTTATTTGTGCAAAATGTTTTTGATCATTTGACTATAAAATATTAAGAGTTAAACTCAGAAATACAAACAAGGCATAAACCATACTGAGAGTAAGTATTTTAGTTTAATATTTTCTTATCTTATTTACATTTATCTAGTGTTTTATTCTTAATATTTATTGAATGTGAATAAGATGTTCAGAAAAAAGCGAAAGTTCAGATTAGGTAAAGACTTATTGTTATCGACTCTCTTTGTGAACTTTGGCCAAGTCATTTGAATTTATCGGTTAAAATTGCTTTAGATTTTAGTGCTGTTTAAACAGCCTTCTATTAAAAGTTAAACAAATGACTTCCGTTGATTCTGTTGATTAACTCATATTAAATGAATAATAATCAAAAGTTATGTATTGCATCGTTAAATTAACAGATTGCTAACTAAGAAAAATATAACAGCATAAATCCTGACAAGACTTTAACCTATATTATTCGGTCGCCTAATAGCCTATGTACTTGGTAAGGTCCGTTCGTTATGATAAAAAGGTATATCGGTGTATTTCAAAAAGGAAATGATTAACACTGAAGTTCACTTAATATGTGTTAGTGAGTGATCCACCTTCATACCTTTGAATTACTTGTATCATGTACATAATGGATTTGTAAATAGGAATATACAGATGCATTGTTGTTTCATTGTGCTTTGTAATCTTAGATATAAAGGTTTTGAAAAGCAAAATTTCTTGGTACAGAAAAGAGCTTAGTTACTACATATTTAAGGAATCAGGTGGATCTCATGTTATTGTATATAGAAAGATAACTTATTTAGTAAAAATAAAGACTTGTAATTGTGTTACTTCCCTGTGTTTTTCCTCCTTTATTTTCAATCCTAATATACAAATATTCAACTCATATTAATCAAATACATAAAGTATAATTTCAAATAAATGTATTCAAATTATGACAAGTATATTTGTATAGATAGATAGATAGGTAGGTAGGTAGGTAGGTAGGTAGATAGATTTCGGACAAGATAAACATGTTACGTGATAAACAAACACAATATAGATTAAAACAATAACAAATGAATAAATAAATACTATATTATGTAAATTATGACATATTCATAAAACCAAGGATAACATAAAAAAGGGCAAGCTCTTATTTCCATTGTGGTCCTTCTAACAGACGTAAAGAAGACAGTTCGCCTGGACAAACAATAATTTATCCTCGGCTTTGCCTCTGACAATTTGTTGTTTTTTCTAACGAATGTCTTCTTACGTCCGTAAGAAGTCACTTTTGAAGAAAAACTCGTTCTGTATCCATATATTGACGAACTTTTGTCAGGATGTAAGCTCCAATATGCATGGGTTATATCAAGAGAATACTGAACAGTGATGCGCCGTTTTGATGTTATATCTTCTAACGTAGGCATGTGAAAATGCTGTCTACGAATTGCCTCATCTCATGCTTTACGGTCAATACATAAGTCTGGGCTTTTTTACGACAAGGGAATATACCCAATCTGTAGGCTCATTGACTTTTGTGATTAACAATGCTTTGAAAAGTGATTTAGATTGTTACACTTGTAGCATTTAGCCAATTTTTCCGGACAGTTTGTTCTCTGGTCATATCGCGTGCCACAACGTCCACAAACATTAAGTGGTCCATGTACTTACATCTTTTTTTTCTTAATGGGTCCATTTGATGATTGTTTTCGTCCATTATGCATCTGCGTCTTAACAGTGTAAATTGGCTGTTGCGAAGCTGCCCCTATGGTTGCCATCTGATTTTGGCAATATTACACTCATGATTTTTTGTAATACTTTCTTTATCCGAATAGTAATTGCTTTCATAGTCAATATTGAAAAGTCTTATAGGTTGCCAAATTGAAGGTGAAGTTTGGTCTTTGCCTTCCTTAGGTATCAAGATTATTATACTTTGTATTTTGATTTCTGATATTTCGCATATTTTTTAGACATAATTAATACAGGTAACAAAATATGTATTTATTTTACTCCGATATATCTTGTAAGATGCTGTAGTTAGTCCATCAGAACCAGGTGATTTGTGATTTTTATTTAAAAAAAATGGTTTACATTCATTTTCACTTAGAAAACCTTCATGCATGTTTTGTTCATTTGGTAATCCATTTGTATCATTTTAAAAAACAAGGAATATCTGTTTCTTTCTGTAGCACTTTATTGTACAATGATTTATAAAATTTCACTTCTTCTTGTTAAATCTGATCAATTTCAAAAAAAATCTTTATTATCTATGACTAATTTTAAAATGATTTTTTTCTCTCAGTATGTCACTTTTCTAGATTAGCAAAATATTTTAAATTTTCTTTATTTCCTTCAACATGAATAGCTTTTATTCTTATTAATAACTACTATTTATTTTATTTTCAAATAAATTTTCTTATTCATTTTGCTTTACGGGTATTCTCTCTAATACATTTTTTCATCCTTATCATTGGTATTATTTTTTTTTTTTATCTATTGTTTAATGTGCGCAGTTAAGATCAGCAAGTTTTTTGCTTAAAGTGTATTTTTTTAATTGGTTTTCATGAGAAATCAAAGGTCAGAACCAAAAAACATTTTATTTTGGAAGAGAAGATGTCAGAACCCATTAGTAGCAAATACTGTTGACGAAATTTGAAGAGAAAGGAACAAATACTAACCGATAACTGATTGTTTATGTATTACCTTTAACACTCAATTGCAAAATAGCAAACATCTTTTATGTTAAAATGGTTAAAATTACATACAGTGTTAATGTTGTTTTAACTGTTTAAGAAAAATTACTTTTAAGGATTGTACAAACTTAATATAAATTGTCAATATCAACAATCTTTTATCTTTTAAATATTTATGCATCGACATTGTAACTATTTTTATCAATATCAAATTTCATATAACTTGTTTGAAACACACGTGTGTCTTTTTAAGGTTAACAATGATCACAGTCCTTTTTGAAAATAAAGTGTAACAGGAAGTACAATTACATAATGCAGTATATGATCAAATAGTAATCGATACATTGCTTTTGTTTCTATATCATTATAATTATAGTGAAACATTTTTTAGTTCGATATAGCATATTACACATATGTATCATATGATTATGCAATCATTACAAATTCTGTACTTTAGTAATTTATAATGGCAGTAGAATTTCTGCATATATTCTGTATGATTGACTTAATCTCTTACTGAAAGCCAACGAATAAGTAATATCCAAATGTATATATAGATAAAATTGTAAGACATGATTAGCTTAGGCTAAATGATCTAATTTTGTGTATCTTTGTTAACGTTATCAATTTAGCATATGTAATAAAAATATTAAAATATTCTTCAATGTGATTTTGTTTTACTACCTACATTTGCTTCTTATTATTTTTTAGATTAACAATGCTGCGGTCTGTTTGTTTCAAGAACTTTGTAAGGTTTAAAGAATATCAGTTGCTGGACTTTTCGGAAAGTGGACCTTTCATTTTCATAGGCGAAAATTGTTCAGGTAAAAGTTCTGTTTTTGAAGGTATCCGGCGCTGTTTAAAGTTGCAGTTTAGTTCATCAATATCTTCAGTTTTTGACACAAACCAACCGTCATATTTTATTTGCAATTTTGAAACAGATTTCCCTAGAGATAATAACAACAACATTTTATGCGGCTTTGTTTTACTTCCCCCGACAACTGAAAAGAACGAAGAAAATGATGATGATCTGACCGAAAGCCAAAGCTGCGCAAAAAAGGTGAGAGGTGAAGACACACCAGATAGAAAACAAGAACATGAAACAAAATCAAGCTTGACTAATAGAAAGGAGGAAAGTGTAGAAATAAGCTCAACCGAAACAAACGTTTGCCATCCTGAGGCATCGAATCAGTTTTGTAGTGGAGAAACTGTTAAGGAATTTAACCCAGGCAGACAAAAACATACAACACGCTTTTACAAATTTGCGATGAAATGTGGTGATAGGAGTGATCCGATGTTTATCAATTTAGTTGATAAATCTGAAGATGGAACTAATCTTATCATATGTAAAAGGTATCAAATAAGTCAGACTGAGAATCAACAAGTACATAAACAATTCAAAAGTACGATTTTAGAACAAAAGAAAGAAAGCATGGGTGTAGACAAATATATAGAAACAATATTCAAAAATATCGACAAAATGCAAGAGGATACAAGCGAAGGATTAGAGTCAATATTGGAACTTTTAACAAAAGATATTATTTTTACCTTCCCTTTACGCTCAGTTGGGCCTTTGCAATGGTCTGAAAGTAAACGCCTCGCCAGTGAATATCGGGAGGCAAATTATACTGAAGCCGAAAACAGGTGTGAAATTATAAAATATTTCCTCGAAGACAACGGCGAAAAATTTGATAAAGACAAAGAACAGGAATATTTTAAACAGGTAACACAAATTGACGACTACCACTTCACGCTTAAAGATGGCAAGATCAATTTACCAAAGGGTAAATTTGCTTTGCTAAAAACGCCAGAGGGAATATTAGAAGCAAAAGGTTTTTCTATCGTAATATCAAGTAAACAATACAAGACCATTTTGCTTGAGGAACCAGATAGGGGAATGCATCCGCAATTTGTGGAAAGAATGACACAAATAATCAATCAAGAGAAAAAAAGTAAACGTGTTGTACTCATTACACACCAGAAAGGATTTATTACCCCTCGAACAGTATCTGATACATTCATCTTCAGGTGTACTGGAACAGGTCATCGAATCATATCTGGTAAGTCTATTCTTGAAAACGACGCAAATATGAAGAAATTGCGACTGTTGACATCGCATCATGTACCTGACATTTTCTTCGCTCGAAAAGTTTTATTTTATGAAGGTGACTCGGAAGAACTGTTTCTAGGAGAACTTAAGAGCCAAATTCTTTCTGGAGATTGTAGTGTCACTCCAAAATTGTTTGAAAAAGATGATGCAGAGCTATCAAACAAACAGTTGAAAAAATGTCTAATTGAATATACTTTTATTAAAATGAATAGTAAAGACAATCGTAAATTTTATCAGTCAATATGTAAACAACTAAAGCTAGATCATTTAGTTCTTGTAGACAGAGAAGCTGTAGCTAACATGCTAGTGGATCGCAAACCAAAAGGAGAAAAGGAAGACGAAAGATTGAAGGCAAAGGAAAGATCACGAAAAGAATGGGAAACAATCAGAAGGGACATAAAAGAAGAACATATCTTTTTCTGGTTAGATGGTAATATAGAGGATATGGTGTTTGCAATGTGTGAAAATAACAGCAAACTGGAAAGCGATCTTTTCAAACAAAACGTGAAACGTAAAAAAGGGAAACTTTTTCTTCACGATAGGGTTAAATGCAGTAATATAACAGAAAGTGTAAGACTCCTTCTTGATAACTGCAAACCAGAGCACGACCTTGCTGCATTCATCAAAAGGCTGATGGAATAACTATTTATGCAAAATATTCATAATTATTTTCAATAATCATTACAACAAAGCAAAAAGTATCTATCTGAGGTAAGATGTTCATGCCGTGTGAATTTTGTAATATTAAACAGATGTCAATATTGAGCTTCGACATTTTCATAATATAACGTCATTTATTTTAAAAGTAATAATATTAACGTGCAACACAGCAATGATCATGTATATCTGCCGTTTTTTATTGGTGTTTCAGGATTTATAATAACATGATGTAATAAAAGATCTGCCATGTGATGTTTTGTCTACGTGTCTCATGCACATTGTTACATACGTATGCATGTTCATAGGATATAAGGCAAATATATGCGTCACGTTAGCGTGACAGGCCTTTTTATTTTGTTTTGTTTGACGCCATTTATATCAGCTGACTTCCGATAATCAGGAATTAAACAACGTTATTAAAGAACCACTGCAATATTTTGATTATTTAGTGTTTACACAATGCACATAGATTAATTACTAGGCAAAGATTAGTTGTTACAAAACACATTTGACACCTGTACTTATGAAAACAGTACTGTGCAAAATCAGGAAAATTTAGGCCGATTGTGATGCTCGCCAATGTGCTTCTTTCCGTGGACTAGGGAAACAAAATTAAGGAAAACAAACAAATCATTATTAATGGCAGCATAAATTCCAGTTCAAAATTGAAAAATTGATTTCATTTGGTATACTTGATAGATAAGCTCCAGTTTAAAACAGATTAAAACCTCAACATCTAATAAATGTATTAGATCCAGTTACCTTAAATGATTGAGATTGAAAATATAAAAAGGTAAGGCATAAACAAATTTACATTCGGGATGAATATAGTAAGCACCTTCAATGACAGAACGAAAATTTCAGAGATAGACGTACATAATAATATCAGAGTTGTTTTTAGATATACATGTACATTACATGTATGAAACAATACAAGTTTTGCTTCAATTATTAAAATCAACTACAACGTTCTGCTGTAATTCCTAATAACCACAAATACAAACATTATATTCTGAAAACATAGAGAGGTTGGCTATCTTAAATGCCATAAACATTAATGCCGGACTCTATCAAAAGCTTTGAGATTATCACAAAAAATGTTGATTGCTTAGTATCAAAAGACTTACAAATTTGGTTATAAATGTCTTTTAATTGATAAATAATGGAATGTTCTGGAAGGAAGCCCGAATACTTTTGAATTTCATTAAAATATGTATCCTGGCTTCTGATGTTTTCGACGCTGCAAGGATTTCATGGGCTATATAACTATCAAATGTCTTTGCAATCATAAAATTGATGTATTGCACTACTAAGCATTCGATTTGACATAAAAACACTTTCAAACAAAAATAACAAACATTTACCGATAAAGGTCAACAAACTGACTGCAACCCAACTTCCACTTCCTGTCTGATGATGTCATAGTTTTTGACGGTTGTGATTGGCTATTGTTTTATTGTACAGTTATTGTTATATTAAATATCAAACTCTAAAATTTTAACATTGAACAAACAACTTTAATGTTTTTTTTCTATTTTTAGCATTTTTAATGTTTTTTTTATAAAAGAACACATCACTTTGTTACTATGTGTGGTTTTAATTTCTCCTCTTCTGTGCACTTTGGGCACAGGAAGGGGTCATTCCTTCTTTAGGACTTTTACTGTGGAACAGAAACTTAAATGGACCCATTTGTCACATTTATCACAACAACCCCAGGACATTTATGTGAGACTAACACAGTATTTAAAGTCTGCTGGAGTATGTCTACCACAAACAGAACACTTTTCAGTATCTTGTCCATCATCAGAGTCAGAAATATCTGAAGCTGGCAATTCCACATTCTTGTGTCTATTTAAACCTGAGGTACTACGTTGTTGTGATAAAGTTACAGCAGAATTTTTTTCTGGACTTTCTTTCCTTTTTAGAGACAAGTGGCTTTGGTTGTTTCTGTTGTGCAATATGATATTTCATCTTATTATACACAGAGTCCTCTGTTATTGCTTTCCCATCCACTACTTTACTAAGTGTCTTACGAACCTTTGAAACAGTTACAGTCTGTAAGATTTGTCCACCTCTTTTCTCTAGGAATAATCAAGCATCTGCAGTTACAGGTTCCTCAATTTGGTCAGATTCATCATGCTGATCTTTAGCAACATCAAGACATGCATTTGTTTCATTACTGGATTGAAATGATAAGGACGGAGCAATAGCTGCATCACTGATGACACTAGAGTTAAATGGAAATATTCCACAACGCTTGAAGGCTGATTGAATGTTCATAGGTGTGTGTTAGAGTGGCAGTGTAGACTTTTCTTGCAATCTTGCTTACCTCATTACGTGTTATTTTTCGACCCCCTGACTCTCGCAGATACTGGTGGCAAGCTGCATTCCAACCAATTTCAAGCGGACCAAAGCACGAGACATCCATGGGCTGTAACAAGTGTGAACAATGCGGTAGAAGAACAAACAGGATAATATGCTGATCTCTAGCCCACTCAACTAAACCTAGAGATACATGGCTCTTGTGACCATCATACAATATCAGAATTGGGCTATCACTGTTTCTAGCAGGAAGAAGTGGTTCTAAGTGGTAATGCATGTATGTTTCAACCAGGGTCCAACCAGAGTCTGAAACAACCCCATGTGCCCCTGGTCATGCCCCTTCCATTAGTGCTGCCTGCATTCTAGCTCCAGGAAAAATGAAAAAAAGGTGGAACCTGATGACCTAAAGCAATCCCCCCCTATAACTGTCACTGTCTTTGACCTACCAGCTTTAACCGCTTGTGCCTTATACTGTGCACCTGCAATAATCTTTGGGGGTTTATGTTCAAGACTTAGGCCTTTTTCATCAATATTGTAGATACGTGATGGCTTATCTTTCAAGTTGTATTTGTCTAAAATAGACTCTAGCTCATTAAAGTATCTGACAATAGTAGGACGTGTTGCTGACTTTGCCCGAGCAATTTCAAGACTGCGTGATTTTTTTACCTTAAGATTAGGCCACCTATCTAAAAAGCTGTACAACCATGTAAGACTGAATGGCTTATTTTTGTCACGGATTCCCAAATGAATGGCATAATCAGTGGCAAGGTTTATAGTTTCCTGCCTAGAATAGCCGTAACCTATCTCAGCCATGGTTATCAAGTGATTACAGAGGAAAGCTTCTTGTTCCTGTGTAAACATTGTCTGTGGACCAGACCTCAAAGTGTCAATATGAACTCTGCCTTTCACTCTATCTTTAAGTGTAGTGATTGGAATGTTAAATTGTTTTGCAACTCTCTCTACTGGTAAACCTTGTTGCATCACAATATAATATGCCTCTTGCAAATCATTGGCATAATATGATCTGTATTTGCCCCGCACATTTGTTTGAGGCTGCAATAAAAAGAATGAAAAACTGCTAAGACTGATAAGGAAATACCATGTTGTGACGATAATTTTGGGAACAACCTGTATATAAATTTGACTTGTCACGTGACTTTATGGTTACAATGGCTGCAGAAGCAGACGAAGGAAAACTTTTTTACTAAAATTTTATTGAGAATGAGTTTTAATGAGGAGTTTGAGAGGTAAGTATTTTAGGGTTAGTATAATCATGTAAAACATACACTATTCAAATCAAAATCGATCTTTTACCTGTCTAATTTCCATTTTGTTTCAGTTGACAGTTTAGCGTCATGTATCCAGGTTATGTTTATTTCCGGGTGGGCGGAGCTAAGTAAAATCACGCGAGATCACAGAAATAAAGGGAAATAACCACAACCGTCGAAAACATAGGAACGTCGAAAACATAAGATGCCACGATATATATATATATTTGTTCAAAAATGATTCTTTCAATTATTTTTCCAACACAACTTATTAGTGATTTTGGTCGGTAATTAGATGCTTCATCTTTATTTTCTTTCTTATATAAAGGCATAAAATGAGCCAATTTTCAATTAGATGGGTAAATATTGTCATGTACGGTTCCAGTAAAAATTAAACAAAGAGGTTTGTATATTGATTTAAATGTTTCTTTCTACATTCTATGACTAATTTTATCGGGACCAGCAGCTTGAATGATGATATATCGGTAAGTGCTTGTTTAGTGTTTGAATTGTCAACATTTGCAATTGAAAACAAACAAATCGTTCAACGTATTTGCTTTTTCTATGTCAGAAAATGATATATCTGTGTTATTACATTTTATAAGAGATGGAATATTTCCTGAATCAGACGAGCATTTTTACCGATTTCCAATATTTGAGCGAATCATTATTATTAAGATCTTTTAGTAAAAATTCTAAATTGTTGTAGAAAACGTTCTAAGCATCTTTTTTATATTATTTACCTTATTTCTTTTTGCTGTTTTTTGTATTTATTCTAGTCATATACGTTATTTGAATTAAATGCTTTATGAAATTGTCTATATCTTATTTGCAAAGTGTTTTTGAATTTCGGAATTAAACCAAGGTTTATCTTTAGACTTAACCAACGCTTTAAATGTAGGAATGCAATGCTTGCCAATATCAAAAAAAGTGCTTGTAAAAAGTTACTTGTAAGATCTATATTGTAATTGATAATAAACGAGCAATCGAAATCACGTATAAGTGTATTAAATTTAGTGAAATCAGCATTATTGTAGTTCCATAATCTTCTATTAAATGGTTTATTTGAGTCAACTTCAATTTTGAAATAAATATAGGCTTCGAAATGATCACTAATTTCAGTTAGCGTTTCGAAAATTCCAAACCTAAAACATGAATGTTGTTTGTTGTTGCTACAGGATCAATTAATGTAGTTGGTACTTAAATAACATTGGTCATATTGTTCACACGTCGCGAAATAAATGATTGATAATAATTTAATTGATCTTCATTTATAAATCCTACCATGACTATGTGGTTTGTGTCTCTAGAGCAAGCTTGACACACCTATTTAATTTATCCCAAAGATCGACCGTTTAATACGGGGGCCTAAATACAGTGCATAAAAAATATGTTGTTTTTTTTTGCCTTTAATTTCTATCCAAAGCGATTCGGGAAGAAAAAGCTGAAACATAAATTCCCTGCATAGCATGAAATATCCTGCAGAAACATAAGTTCGAACCCCGGTAGGAATAAGTTGTTCTCTTGAAGATTTGCATCCAAATTTGTCTCCGCAAAACACAAAATATCATAATCGAGAAAGTTGTCATGTACAAAGTCTAATTTACTTCTAATGCCACGAATATTTCGATGAAATATAGTTAAACAGTTTTCCTTACTAAT